ATATATATGTATATATATGTATACACATATACATATACATACATACATACATACATACATACATACATATAGTGTGTGTGTGTGTGTGTATACATATATTTTTATTTATATATATATATATATATAAAATTTTAGATATCAAAATTTTAGGAATTTTATATTCATACGTGAAATATATAAAACTTATTTTAATTAGCTTTTTTTATGTTTGATGATTCTAATACTTTGAAAATTGTAATATTCTTTAACAAATATCAAATTACATGTATTACGATGAAATATCAGTGATATGTTGTTTTAGTACAACATTCGATGAATTATTTAACACGTAGTAAAAAATTACCGCATTGAACAGATTCATTTATATTTCTAGAATTAGATATATATGTTTTAATAAATGTGTTTTAAATAAATGTCTTTAAAAAAAGAAAATGAGAATACAGAATTTAAAAAATACTGCCAAAAACCTAGACAGTGCGACTTTTGATTTTTCTACGTATTTATTTTCATTTGTCCACGCTTGCAATGTTTGTATACATAAATATTCGCTTACATATTACTTATATACTCGTATATTCGTTTACATATCGAGAAAATGATGCTGAATTTCGGATGAAATTCCAGGAGAGATGAAAACTGGACGGTGAATGGGAAAGGTAGATTACTCTGTAAGAACATATTTACAATAAGGCGCTTTATTTCTATAAACTTCTCGCTTATTTAGCATCGTATAGAAATAATCGGTACTTATTATGTGCTAATTTGTGCGAGTTGTGGCATGGTGCGCAGATATAAATATAACAAATTTCAGTCGCGACTTATCGCTCTCCATTCTTGTCCTGTTAATCCTCGTTGCCTTTTTTCGATGGGCACATAAGATGAAGAAACTTCTTGAGAGAATTGTTTCTTCACACGCCATCACCATCGCCGTCGCCGTCGATGCTGATACCGTCGTCACCGGCTGCCAGCGGTTTGCTGCTCTTATCCCGCTTGGAGTTGTGATAGAGGTAGGAGTGTACACGCAGACTGTTACTGTTCTTATATTTATTACCACAAAGCTTACACGTGAGAGTTTCAAGCGGACCGTGAATATAACGGACGTGTAGCTTGAGGTTTTCCTTGCGTGTGAATTGACGCATGCACCATGGGCACGCATACATGCGTATTACCTTGCCATGTTCCATGCGTAACGTTGGACCCAGCTCTGAAACAACACGCAGCGTTGTCTCTAATGGCAAGCTGCTACCGGAAATACCTTTAACCGTACGTCGTCCCTTAGTGCTGGAATTTGCCATCTCATATGTTGAATCACTTGAATAAATCGTTGTGTCATTTAAACCTACTAAAGAAGAGAATATTATTATTAGATTATTATTATTATTATTAGATATCATATTATTATTCTTGAGAATATTAGATATGCATTCGATTTGATAAAGCTATCAAGAGATTACATAAAGAAAATGAAAAACATGTTAAGGATATATACATAAATGTAGGAGAAAAAGAATGAAAGACGTATTAGATTGGTGCAAAAATCTTGTATCTATAGTAAATAAAATTAAAAGCAAAATAAGAGAAATAATGGTTTCTTCTTTTTAGCTGAACTTCTTACACAGTTCATCTTCTCTCTTTTTTTTTCACACTGACTTGTATAAAAAGTTTAAAAGTTAAAAAGAATAAGCCTAAAATTACGCGGATTTCGATTCTCTTTTTATTTATCATCATTTATCTAGAGAGATTTTTAATTCCTTCTTTAAAGAACTTCAGTTTTAATAGAGATTTTGATAACGAAGTGACAAATTTTTTGCATCAATCGAATATATTTATAAGCAGTATGAACAGAGATGCAGTTTCTGAGATATCTGGAAAAAACTGTGCAATAAAAAAACGAGATTAACTTGAAAATTTACATTTAAAGATCGATAAGAAATATAAAAAATAGTAAATGATAAATGAGCAATTTGTATTTTTCCAACAAAATTCCATTCGTTATACAATCAATTCATATTAGTAGCATTTAAAAATAAATTACAAATTAGCATATGGAAATGCAGTTTTGCAATTTAGGAAGAAAAAGAACAGATAGGAATATTATTAGAAAATCAATTAACAAGTATTGAGATATAAAATTAGCCGTGTTATTTTTTCCTACATTCATTCTATAAAAAAAAATCTTGCAAATTGGTTCTTTTTTCAAACATGTTCCTGAACGAGTTGGAGAATGTGAACAAGCAAAATGCAACAGAAGTGTAAAACATACCGAATGGCTGAGTTTGTGAATTCTGATTGTAGGGAACTAACTGCGTATCTGGCGCGAAATCTGTAAGATAACATCGCTTTCTCTAGACATTCATGGCCAATGAGATGAAGTGCCTGATGAATTTATGCAAAGAGAGAGAAAGAGAGAGAGAGAGAGAGAGAGAGAGAATTATAATTCGAGGAACATCGCTTGCTCGGATTTGAAACACCCATTCGCGTGAACATGCAAACGTGATATTGCGTTGATCACAGAGACTAAATTGACTTTAACCCCCGGCGTTATGATTTAACGAACAAATTGATTTTGCAATGTAAATCGACCATATTCCTTGTTGAATCGTAATGCGTTAGAAATTTTATAGAGAAACAATGTCGCTCGTTGGAGGGATGATAATGAGATCTAAGATGTCCACGTTAGAAATACCGGGGGTTAATAAAACAGTACGTAAAAGTGCTTAAGAGCTTGCGTCGCAGTCAAACAAGTGATAATGAGTCTCAATAACAAAGTACACATCTATCCGTGGCAACACTTGAGTGTGTCAAACCTTTGGGGCGCCGATACTGCTGGTACAGCAAACTTTTCTCTTTGTCGAAGGGCGTTTCAGCTCCGGATGACGTTCCGACGACGTCATTCAATCTACTGTTAGCGTTGTCTTTAAAGTACACGAGACAGGACGGCGGGAGAATCACTACCTTGTTTCGGAGCGTTCTCGTTGCCGGCATAGAGTATTTTTTCCGCTGCATATTTGTATCCCAAATCCATATCCGTGTCCATTGTATAATCCAGCGGTTCGGGTTTGGTTGACTGTGGCTGACTCGCGTCGGATGTGCAATCTAACGGCTGTTCCTCCATGTGGCATGGCATGTCTGTGCTTCTGCTTCTCTTGCTGATCGCTGTTTGTACATCTGGGCCATCTGGGATACTGTAGTCAGCTTCTGTGCAACCTTGCCAATGACAAGTGTCAGTGACAGTTGACATTTGTTCAGGTTCTGTAAACGGTTCTCTCGTCGAGATGTCTTCTGTTGAAGTGCTTTGCCTCGTTGTAGACTGCTCCTTTACAATGTGCGTCAGCCTGCTGAATGTGGAAACGTTTTCATCTGTACCACTATGTTCACATCTATCTTTTTCCACTTCATAGAAACCACGATCTTCAAAATCCTCGTCATTTTTTCTAAGAGTATCTTTGAATCTCTGCAATGTATATAGAAATCAACTGTGTATAAAAAAAAATATATTGTATATATTTAGAACCTACTTTCTAAATATATTTTACCTTCTAAATTTAGAGTACAGAAATTATTTAAAAAAAAAAATAACATCTTTAAAACAAGCAGTATCATACTTTCTCACATTCTATGCATTTTAACATTAGCATTGTCCTATAATTTTATTGTCTATATTTTTATAAAGATTTTTATAAAGATAATTTCGATTGTTTGACGAACCTCATTTGAATCTGTGGTCAGTCCTTTTATTTGTAGAACCTCTGCAACTTTTAAAAAGCTGGCAATATCCTCTTGCTTGATATTGACCTCTCCTTGATACATGAAATGCAGTATAGCTGACAAATCCCGATAATTGACATCTTTCAGTATAACAATAGGATGTTTGCATGTGTTTCCCTGTGTACAACAAATCATTGAATCAATGAAGCTTCCACAAAAGTAGTTATGATATTACCATTGTATCACTAATAAAAATAATAAGGTACCTTGAAAAGTTCTCGAAAGTATGTGCTGCAGACTGACAGTATTAGTTTGTGAGCCCGCAAAATTTGACCTTCAACAGCCAATGTGACGTCTACGAAATGCTCATCTGTCAGCAAAGTATATAAGCCTGAAGACAGATTTCTTGGGAAGCTGTTCCACACCAAGGAGAATTGTTCGTCAGACATTGTTCCTATGTGAAAGGCACTTTGTATATACTCGATAGAAAAACAAAAAAGGACACTGATTAAAGCTTATAGAATTCACAAGTTCTGCATTAGGCCGCTTTTACAGCTATCTACAATGCACTTATTTATTATGATTGTTAATAAACTGTATGCAATTCATTTTGTATTGTTATATTTGTATCGTTTAAAAATAAACGTTATGTTTTCAATCAGTATATTGATATCGCCGGGTGCAACATTACATTTCTTTACCTTTGACAATTCCGTGTTTACAAACAGGAGAAGATAATGAAAACCTCCTCAACAAGAACGACAAAGTTAATAAGATTTTTCAACACCACTCTATAATACCATTAAATCGTTTATATCACAAATATTCGGAAATCTAATTGATTATTCAAACACCGTCCTCGCTTTCCTCAAGATATGGATTGCAAATACAAAACATAATCAAGACAGTTATTCTGCGCGCGAAAAGCTTGAGTTCACTCCAGTCACTTTGATGTGCGTAAATTACCGAAGCAGTGCGCCATAAATCATGCGATCTTCATTGCGCTCCGAGATGGCGACGCTGGGCGATGCGTGCAACCTCGTGCCTCGCGCAATGGCGCCGCAATCAACAACAAACAATAATATAATTAAATAAAAATGATAAATGATATATACAATATACATCACTTATATTTTATATGACATTTTATGTATTTTATGTGTGTAATTAATTAT